GTGAGAAGCCTTGTATACAGGTAACTTTCAGTACTTTGCATCTGGGCACATGCTCTTTTCTATGACTCCAAGGCCTCTACTTTGAAAGCCTGAATGGATAACAACTCTGTGGATTAAAATTAGGAAGAGGAAGAACAGGTTTGCTGAGAAGGTAAGTTCAGTTTCGGTCCTGTTAATTTTGAGACACCTGGGGAAATTCAGATGCTCTGTTTCATCGGTAGAAATAGAGTTTAGAGGCTCCTGGGACAGGTCTGAGCTGGAGATAAAATTTTAGGATTGATCAGAGTAGATGTACCTTGAGGCATAGGACCTGGACTCGACAGACCTATGTTTAAATATGAACTCAAGACACTAGTTATGTGTTGCCCTATGTGTAAATCAATATATCTAACCTAGAATCTTTGTAAGGATTCAGTGAAAACTAGAAATACTGAACACTGAGTTCAGTAAGTGGCAAAATTATCATTAGCTTTTATTACTAGATTACAATACAGGTTTTTTATGAAGAAACTCCACCCTAACAAAAAGTAAAAAAATAGAATTCACTGAAATACTCTTTGAAATGCATTTGAATGGAAAACTTGTAAGGTGTGCTTTGGTGCCCAAATGGCAGCAGGGTACATGGCTGTGCCACCTGGCCAGCAAGACCTAAGTGTGCTCTGCACCAAGAATGGGAGACTCAAGTCCATGCCGTGGGTTTCCTAGCAGGCAACTTACCTTCAGAGCAGCAACCCAGGTACAACCTACTCCCTGTTCTCCTTAAAAATAGGAATTTTAGGGAAAGCATTGTCTTCTCTTTTCATATTATGTTGCCTGCACAATATTTAGGTATTAATTTCTAAATAGTTGGCAGTAGATCAACATTTAATGTTTGTTCTTTTAAATCATTTTTTTTCCATGGCCTTTTCTAATCTCACAGCTTCTATTTTGGCCCATAATTTGATATGACATAATTCTAAATGTAATTATTTGTGTGTAAAATGCCGTATCATAATGAAAGCTAGCAAAATCTGAACAAAAGTATATAGGTCTTTATATGAACTATAATTGCTTCTGCTTGATGTTAAGTTTTTATGATATGTTTTAGTGGGATCTATTTAAAACAGATGGAAAAATCTTAGAGTAACAAAGTGATGAGAAAAAGTTCAGTGAGAAAAGCTAAGGTATCATCAAAGTTTATCTACACAAAGCCACCAATTTGATCCAATTAGTTTAAAGAATAAGTTTGACTAGTTTTCCTGTTTTGCTGTTCTTAAAGGCACCAGCAGGCACTAAAGACAAAAAATCAGCAGCTTTAATTAGCTACTATCATTCTTGAAATAATTATATATTGCGATAGACTGTAAGCAAAGATTATCACAATAATTCCTCCCATTCCTGCATGTATATCCCTTGGAAATGGGACTTTGCTACTTCTCCCATCAAGAAGAGGAATCTATCTTCCCACTTCCTGAAACTGAGCTGGTCTTTCAACTTACTTTGACTAATAGAATGTGTTAGAAATGATGCCATATAATTTTTGCTTTGAGAGGTCTTGGAGCTTTCGTTTTTGTACCCACTTGGCATGCTGCCACCAATTTAAGATACCCAGGCTAGTCTTGAGGGTAAAAGGCTATAGGGAGAGAGAAAGGGTTCCTGCCAATAGTCAACACCAATTACCATTCATGAGTGAGCCCAGTCAAGCTGTCAGATGCCATAGCAGCTACATGCATGATTCTGGACAAGGCCAGTCCAAATCACTGATTTATGGAATTGAGAATATAGAATTCTGTGTGTGCATACATATGGTAGAATTCTCCTGTCTTGAAGATGAGAATAATTTTAAACTCTAAGAGGGTCTTAGGTTAATCATTACCATGTATTTCCAAATTTTAAGGATAAAAAAGTTTCTTAAAGTTGTAATGATGTGTCACTTAGGTTGCTGTAGTGAACAATGAAAGAGAAGCAGATAATTTTTTGTGATGGTTTGTATACAGTATTTTCAGAGATAGGACAATTCTAGGTGATTTCCAAAGTCTCTTTAATTTCTAGAGTTTGGTGAAATTTCAGTTTAATCCTTGTGTTTTTAGTAACTCCACTTCATGAACTTGTACATAGCATTTTTGTATCTTTTACAACTGGCATCATCTACTGACTCATCGTTCACATATGATGTGACCAAAAACAGCTATGATATATTGTAGGTAACAAAGTACAGGCAATACAGCATAATGGCTAATGAGTTCGAGAGCCATACGGCCTGGTACAAATGCTGGCTCAGTTGCTTATTAGCTGTGACTTTAATGAGTTGTTTAAACTATCTTTGCTTCAGTTTCTCCATCTGTTGAATGGAAAGATAACAAAACCCCACTGGATTGTCGATAGGATTAAATGAGTTGATATTTGAGCTTAAACCTATTTCTCAATAAACATCAGACAGTATTGTTATGTTGTAGAACGGAATGGTCTAAGTCCTAGTTCTCTTACTATGTGACCTTCAGCAAATCCATTAACCTCTCTGGGATTGTTTTCTCAACTATAAAAAGTAAGGTTTGGTAGATAATTTTCATGGTTTCTTTTCATTTTTAAAATCCTGATTCTCTGTTTGAGATATATCTATCTATATCTATATAGATCTATCTATCTATCTATCTATCTATCTATCTATCTATCTATCTATCTATCTATCTATCTATCTATCTATCTATCTATCTTTATAACCCAAATCTATTATTCTGCTAGCTTTTTGGAGCACTTTCCACATATTTTAAAAGCCAAGCTGCTCCCAAGTATCCTCAAATGGAAGAACTTTGAAACTGAATTTTACTACAGTGCTTGATATGTTTTTTCTGTTTGTACATTCCAATCTTGTCTATAATTCTAATTTTTCAAAGATGGTCTAAAACTTATTAGTAAGCAGTTTTGAGAACCGTCTAATAATGACCAGCTTTAAGTATCAATAATGCTGTATTTACTCAAGAACATTTTTTACTCCCATCTGGTCAGTAACCATAACTCACATTACTGAAGCAATCCCTTTCCAGATTTATGAAAAGTTAAGATTGTGTATTGTTTAACCCATGATAAATATGTTTATTAAGTAAATGTAGAAAAAGGCCCTCCAAAATTTTTCACTTCGTTTTACTAAAAATCTCGTTTAATAAAAATCACCTATAATTCGACTTCTAAGGTGTTACATGAAGAATTTTGTTTTTTTTTGCTTAAGCATATTGCATACATACATTCAAAATGTGATTTTTATTGGCTGCATAACAAATACCATCATGGGGATGTATCATTATGAATTGTGACATTTCATTACATTTTAGTTGGATGTCGTGTGATGCTTCTTGACAATGAGATAAACGATCATACTACTATGTGACTAGTGTGTAGAATGTACAGTACATGAAATTCCTTTTAAAAAGTTGATCATTTTCTATCCTTTTCCTGTCATTCCTATAATCAAGTTGCTACAATCCCTCAAGACCTATGCAAATGCTCCCTCTAATACTTTCACAATAAAAAATTTATCATTTACTTGACGTACTATATAGACTTTCCTTTGAACTTTGAAAACAGATTTCAGTCACTCTTTTGCTCTTGCAAAATACTAAACTTTGCTGGCAGTTTGTTAGACAACTGCGACGGGTTTCAGTGAATCACTGGGGGCGCTTTTTCTACTTAAAAAATTTCCTTATCGACAGTGGGCACATAGTTGTTTCTTGATCAAGAATTCCGTTCTAGGAGTTGAGAGAGCGGAGGTGGCGGCTCTCTTGGCCCCTAGAAGCGGCACACGGGGTTGGTTAAGCTGGCAGAGGGCTGCGAGGTTCCGGGATTTTCCAAGCAGGGTGCGGGCGCCGAAGAGGGGGGTAAAGGGCGTACTGCTCATGTGAACCACCTTCACTTTCAGGTTCCAAAAGTGGATCGCCGTGGAATCAATACTGATCTCCTACCATTAGATTTTTTCCTCCAAAGGACTGAGAGGCACACTTCGCAAATTGTTGGGCAAGAAAAGCAAAAAACTCCCCCCAAAGTTCGACTTTTACCACTTATAAATGTGCTGACAACCTTTTCGGGATCACCACTGCTTACGGCTTGCATATTTGCCAAGCCTCTTCCTACAGTCCATCCTCGGGCTTTTCCACCCTCCCCGTTTCAGTTCCACGGAAAGGAGAGAAGCGACGGCAACAGTTTGGTTGCGGAGCACTCCGTCTCCAGGCGCGAAGAACGCACCATGCGCCTCACACCTCTCGGCGCGCGCGGCCGGCGGCTTTGGCTCTCCGTCCGCCGGCGGGAGGACGCTCGGACGAGAGGCAGGCCCGGGACTCCGGCCGCGGCCCCAGCGCCACCCGCCAAGGCTCCCTCCCCCGCGCGGCCGCGACGTCGCCTCCCCACAGCCCGGGCGCCCAGCCGGGCGCATGCGCGCGGCGCTCCCGGGCGTGCCGGCCACACTCCCCCCACCCACTCCGAGAGCTTGTCACTTCCTGCCCTCGCCCCATCTCCGTCCGGGGTCAGTCAGTCGCTCCCTGTCGCTGCGGGCAGTCTCTGCTTCCCCCTTCCTACCCGCTCCGCGGCGGTTGTTCAGGCTTTTCGGGGAGTGGGAGACAGAGAAAGAGAGAGACTGACTTAATAAAGTTTCCTGAAACAACAACTCCTGCCAAAAAAGGCCCAAGGAGGGGGGAAGTGCCCATTCTTCCCCGCGCCTCTCCAAAAGCCTGAGGGACCGTTGCAGGTGGAGTGGTGCTGGGGGAGCCGGGCTCCGGCGGCAGCCGTTGCCCCGGCGAGGGGAGTCTCAGGTGCTGCCCGCTCCCGTTCGGGCTCCTTCGGTGGCGGCGGCGGCCAGGGCTGCTGCTGCCGGGCGGTTCCTCCTGTCAACTGCCTGCACCAGCGCGCCGCCCGCCCGCCCAGCTCCACAGCGGGGAGGGACGCCGTGCGCCGCCGCAGCCTCGGACCGCGGAGGAACGTGGTGAGCTGTGGCGCTTCCGCGTCGGCGCCGGTGGGGACTCTTTCGGAGCGCGTTGGGCCCGAACCTCAGTTCCTTACGCGCGGGGCGCCGACGCTGCGCCAGGTGGGCCCGCCGCTGCCTCCCGCGCCAGGCTGTCCCCGCGGCCGCCTGGCCTTCCTTCCGCCTGCTGGCCGGCCCGCCCTTGGAGTTAAGTAAGTTGGGCGCACTTGGTTGTTGGGACCGGGGCTGTGCCGGGGAGACCCCAACGCACGTGCGTGGCGGGAGGGCAAGGCGCGGGCCGGCCCCCGGCGGGAGCCGCACCTCTGCTGCCCCTGCCGCTGCGCCCTTCGCCCCACCGGCCCGCGGGCCCCGGCGGCGTCGGCCGTGCCCGCCGTGCTCCGCGCCTCCGTCTCCGCGCGCGCCCTTCCCGGACGGCGAGGCCGCCGCCGCCCGCGCTGTGGGCCAGGCCCTCGTTCGGCGTTGCGCGCCCGAGGCTGCGTTTCCGGGTAGGGCGATGAACCTGTGCGGGAGTTTGGGCTGGAGAAGACATAGTGCATTTTTTTTTCTTTTTTCGACTCAAGAGGACGGTGCGGGTTCGTGGAGGGAAAGAGGGCGGGTGAAGGGAACGCATCTGGAAAATACAGCCGGAGCCCCCCCAGGAAGTTCAGGGTGAGTGACGGGTTTGTGCTTCTTTCAACAGCCAAGCCGCAATGAAGAGCTTCTTACACTGAAAGGAAAGTAGGTCGCGCCCACTGAAAATGCCTTTAAGGGACAAATACTGTCAGACTGACCACCATCATCACGGATGCTGTGAACCAGGTATACCCCTTTCTCTAGTTAGTTTTGTCCTCTGTCAGTGGCCCTCTGCCTTCTCTTTCCTTTGGTTTTCTTTATCTTCTGCCCAAGAAGTCATTCCTAAGTAAGCAGGCTATAATTTGCCCCAGCATAAAACTAGTTATGAAGCTAAAAGCTTGTACAAACAAGAGGTCTCCTCTGCTTGATTCCTAAAAATAAAGTACAGCAAGTGTCACCTTAAATCTTTTCCACGAGATCACTCAGTTCCTTTTCCTTCTCTTTCGAGGCAGCCTGCAGTTAGTAGGCCTCAAACTTTGCCAGTGTTTAAAACTGAAGAGAGAGGAAAAAAAGTAGGTAGTAACATTATTAGTATTGATATTGGTGGAAGCTGTTTCTTTTAAACTTTTAAAGTTTCTCATGCATTTTTATCAGAGGATAGCACTTAAAGTCTAAAAATGAGTATGTTTGAGCTGATAAAAGTTTGTTGAACTCAACTTGTTGAGAGAATCAGGTTTTGCTAAGTACAACCTTTTTAAAAAAATTCCTTGGACAGACCTTGTATTGCAAAATGAAAGCAGCCACTAAATCAGATTATTTAGATAGAATAAGTATTTTTGAGATAGTTTATTCAGTGGAACTTTAGTTGAATTTATGATGTGAAAAAGTTGCTTTTTGGGGTCTTAGAAAGCTTTGAAAAATGTGCTATATAAATTATTGATAGGTTTTCTGCTTATTAGAAATTTGATGGCTTTTGTCACAAACATTTAGGAGTATGACCTAAAAGGAAATCATTGAATACATATGGTCAGTAAACCAAATAAAGGCTGTTCTGTTCTAGTTCTAATAGTTATCATTATTTTTGGCTTAAAAGTCTTTAGGACTTTTATGCTTTTGCATGCTTTTTGTTGGTGTTATTTTAACTGTAATAATGTACTTGGTTTTATCACAGAGTTCATTTTAACTACCTTTATGATTAATGGAAAGACAATGGCAGTAGTAAAGGGAAAGAACTTCCATTTTCAGAAAACTTTGGTACAAATGAGAATACAGTTTGTGCTGTGACCCCACTGATTTGCTGAAAATCAGTAATAACTCACCACAGCTAATAAAACAGGCAGTCCGAGGATGGGATCCACTTTGTGTTCGACTGCCTTCAACCTAGCTCACTTTCAGCAGCCTTTCATCCTGCATGTTTCCTGCATTTGAATTGAAGCTACATCACTTCTGTTTTACCTAATGTTGATTGGAGTTTTGAAGTAGAAGGCTTGTGAATGCCTTTTTTACTTGTGTTCCTCTGACCTTTTATTCGTTTTTTTCTGAGAACAATTTTAAGTAATATAAGCTGAATTAGCTAATGTTATTTTATTATAACTTATCTAGGCAAAGCTTGGTGGTTCATTTGTTTGACAAATTTTAATTGAGCACCTGTTATTTGCTAGGTCCTGTCTAAGGCAAGGGGGATATAGGTGGTGAACAAAACAGGTCATTCCCTCATAGAAATTTTAAGTGGAAAAGATGAACATAAACAAATTAACAAGATAATTTGTGGCCATGCCTTTTTTAGTGTTTTCTGATAAAGTTTTCTAGGGACTTTAATGTCTTTTTAAAGATGCTCTCAGAGTTGAACTTTTTAATATACATTGCAACTCTTTTGCTTTTTTCTCCCTCATTAACAAGAAATCATGTAAGTTGGATTCATTTAAAAATTTCAGTTTTCTTCTACCAGAAACTTTACATGCAGTTTATTTTTCAGACTACCAGTCAAAAGTAGTTAGAGTTTTTTCACTTAAGTAGAATTAAACACTTCCTGAGGATTTAGTTCAGTGGAAAGCTAGAAGTTTTTTCACTTACCAGTTAGTTAATTGTCATTATTTCAGAGGAAGGTGTGTGCTGAACAGGAAGGTGTTTCTAGTACTGAGAGGAATATGTTAATGTGTTAATGGTGTGTTAGTTTTTAAAAGAGGATAATCTTAAATGGAAGAAGGTGACCAGATGTTTGAGAAATTCGTTTAATGGGCTCTCCTGAAAGGGCTGTCCTTTTTTGAAGTGTGAACAGTGGATGAGTCTCTAAATGAATGCAGTGTATTTTTGAAGAGGCCTTGATAAAATGGGCCAATTTGTACTGAAAGATGGTGCTATAAGCCTGTCTGTATATGTAAGGTACTGTCTTAGTTATATAATAACAGTATTTTTCATTATAGAAATTTTCAAACATTGAAAAGTAGAGAGAATGGTATAAGAAACCTGATGTAACCATCACAGAACTCCATCAGTTAGCAATACGTCAACAATTTCTTTTCATCTGTATTCTTTTCTCCCCACAATTCTCTTTTCCACCCTCCTACTGCTCCCCAATCCTCTGTTATTTGAAAGCAAATCCCAGATATCATAAGTAGACGAATCATGTAAGGGGCTTGTTTTAAGGGTGGAGAGACTTTTGAAAAAGTAGGGTTTTTATTCTGGGAAGTGTGTTCTTGGATGTCAATTTTTGAGGGTTTGGGTTTTTGGTTGGAGGGAGATGGTATTTTTATCCTAAATGGTTATATAAACTGATCTTGGGAGGGATGGTAGGATATGTAAGAGGAAGTTTTATAGATACTAATATATAAAGCTTTTTAGGATTGAGAGTATGTTTTCAAATGAAGGAAGCGTAGTTTTCTTACAATGGGAAATACACAGATGTATATACCAAGTGGATGCATAACTAAGCCAAACCTGAGCTTATTTTGAATGGTGTCTTAGGATGTATATACGTTCTAGCAGTAGTGGTGGTCTGAAGGTGGTGGGTAACAGTGTGCTCTAGCTTTAAAGGCCGACGCTCTCATGTGGAAGTGGAAGCTGGTATATTATAGGAAGTTTTCTGGGGCCTGTACCTAAGTGAAGAAAGGCAACTCTAAGGAGATGTTTGCATTTTTGACCATAGACCCTTCCTTATTCATTACCATTTATTCATTTTCCCTTTCTAGAATTCTTGCCCTGTATAGAGGCAGACCTTGAAGCTTTTAGTTCTTTACAATTGTACAGTTTCCATCTTCTCTTTTTGTAAACAAGTCATCCATTGTTATAATGTACAAATACTGAAAAGAGATCCATCTAATCCAAATAAATGGCATCATCAGTCTATTTACAAATTTCTGCTGTAGTTTCTCTGAGGGGTTTAATTCTCTTAGATTTTGGAAAAGATCTTTCCATTTTTTGGTGTCAGGAAAGCAATCGATTTGTACATGATGATAATGATGGTGGTGATAGAACTTTTATTGAGCACTTACTGTTTCCCAGGTTCTGTTTTAACCAGTTTACCTGTATCAGCTCATTTAATCCTCACATAACTCTATGATTTAGGTACTTTGATTATCCCCATTTTAAATAGGAGAAAAGATATCAGAGAGTTAACTTGACACAGTTGTATCTAGTGAGTGGTGGAAAAAGAATTTCAACACAATCAGTCCAGGTCTAGAATCTTACGTTCTTAATTGCTGCAGGTAGTGCTAATGTCAGATGTTCTTAATTCATCTAAAATACTCATAAAATGTCTCTGAAAATTGGGAAAACCATTTAATGAAATTACTTGGTCTTGAGACATAGTTCCTCCCAGTTGTGTGCATTGAGCACAAAATTTGAAGCCTAAAAGAGAATCTGAGGCTGTGTTGATACAGCACAGCCTGGTTTTAGCCCCCTTATCAGAAAGCTGAATGCTGCCCAAACCCAGGCCCTGAAGTAGTAGCAGCACCTGTTACTGAAGTGTAACCCTCCTGACCTCCCCACACTAAGTAGGTGATCTTAGGGTGAGAGGGGAATCTTTGAATAAACTTCATAGCATATTGAAAAAAGAGATTTAAAGTGGCTGGTTTTTCTCCACCACAACCATTTATCTCTTTCTATTTGATAAATGGTCGAAAAACTCAAGTTTTCCTTTTCAGTTACCTTGTTTCATATTACTGTAATCTAATTTATTATTATTTATACTGCTAATCTGAGAATTTTGGAAAGCAGGGATTATATAGGCTTCTGTATATGAAAATGAAAATTTTTATTTTTAAATGGAAATATTATTTTTGCTTACTATGAAAATGTGTTCTTTCTAGAATGCACACTTCTAAAAGCCCAGGCTCTGAAGCACTAGTGAAGTGTGAGGCAGAAAAAGTGAAAATTACCCCTATAAACGTACACTGACAGAAACTTTGTTACGTTGGTATCCCATCAGACTTTTTATCATTTGTACATACCACATATAGGTTAACTTTATTTCTTCCTGTATCTATTGATATATATTAATATAAGTGAGATCATATTCTGTAAGTCTAACCTATTTTTGTTGCTTAACAGTCTTACTGATATCCTTTGTTGTCAGTACATGTAGATCTAGCTCATGTTTTCTAACAGTCAGGGGAGATTCTGCTGTATGGATATTTTATAGCTAATTTAGTCTGGTTCCTAGTGCAGGATTTTGAAGTTGTTTGAAATTCTCTCAATTATTTGTAGTGCTGCAGTGAACATTCTTGAACATCTGTCATTGTGCACTTGACCAGTTCTTTCCTTAGGTAGTGGTTTTTGAGTTTTGTTCTTATAATTGCCCAGAGAACTGTTTTAGATTATGCAGAGAGTTTAGGAATGGTTCATGAGGTGTGGCTAGGCAATCACTGACTTAGAATTTCGGTTAGATATAGTGGTTCCTCTTCAAGGGGAATAAAAATGCACGCATGGCAAATATGAACTAAATAATACCAAAATATTAATATCTTTGCATTTGATGCCAATATGTAGCTTTAAGAAGCTTTAATTTAGCCTTGAATTGAGAATAATTTTAGTTATTTTTTTCCCATTATTTTGTTTTGCCTTACAAAGATGATGATGAAGTACAGTTGACCCTTGGACAACACAGGTTTGAACTGTGTGGGTTCACTTACATGTAAATGCTTTTCAATAAATATATTGGAAATATTTTGGAGATTTGTGACAATTTGAGAAAATATTCCTTTTCTCTAGTTTATTGTGAGAATACAGTCTGTAATACATGTAAGTACAAAGTACGTGCAAATTGACTGTTAGGCTTCCATAAGACAGTAGGCCATTCATTAGTAGTTAAGTTTTTGGGGAATCAAAAGTTATACCCAGATTTTCCATTGTGTATGGGGGGCATGGGGTGTTGGTGTCCCTAATTGTTGTTCAAGGGTCAACTGTGAATACAAACAAGTGTTGTTAGCATTAACATGATTATAGCAAACCATTGTTTTACATCAATAGTAAATGATTTAAATAACCCTTTTTTTGTGGGGATTGGGGTGGGTGTTTGTCTTCCATGTAGTTTATGTCCTGGAACCTGGAGATGCTCCTTTGTTACAGCAACCACTACAGACATCCAAATCTGGTATTCAACAAATAATTGAGTGCTTTCGATCAGGTATGAATGTTTCAGGATGTATTTTTCAATCTTCATACAGTAGTTAAAAACTACCTAGGAACTCTTAGAAATATTAAAAAAAAAATTAAAATGTATACTTTGGGTTTCTTTATAGAATCTTTTTAATTGTCATATCTAAAAAAAAGTGTTTCAATAAATACTGACTTGATCTAGACACTTTCTCAATACTATATATTATGTATTAATTTAAAAATAAACTCAGTATGGTTTAAAGAATTATGTCATGTGGTTACTTACTAGTAAAGTGCCTCTTCCTCTTAAAGATTCATTGTTAATTTTTGGTACGATCTTTGTAAACTCTCAAAGTGCAGTAGTAAATTATACTGGGTTTTTATAAGCTTTGGCAGAGTAGGCAATTTACTCACAATATCTGAGATGTCACTTGTTCTAGGTTAATTACTTTATCATCTCTGTTTGTGTTACTCACCTTCTCCTCCCTAACCCTGGGGTTTCTGAAATTGCAATATCTTTTAAAGTCCCAAAATAGAATAGACTTATTCTAGCCCTGATATCTTAAGAAAATTACATTTGTTTTGCTTTACTTTCCATAAGATTATTATAACTGGATATATAATATTTGTGTACTTGTAATCTAGTACTTTAAAATATGTGTTGCTTACTACTTTTAAATGATTGAGAACTGTAAGAACTATTTGGTTAGCACTAAGATCTTAGGTTGCTGTGATTCTTATGATACACGTATTCACCTCGTACACATTTAGCTTCTCTGACATTGCAGAGACTATTGAGTCAAATATGAACAAGCAAACACATATGAATGATGGACACTTAAAGGATTAGAATATCTTTTGTTATTACTTTAAAACTTGCTATCTTAATGAAAAATTACTGAGTTTCAAAGGAAAAGATAATTTATATGCAGCTACTTCTTTTATATTGATAAATTTTTTGAGGTGCTTGTTTTTAAATCATTGTAAAGGGAATAGCATATAGTTGCTTTATTTTAGGATTCTGAAAAACAGATGTTCCTTAATCTAAAATAAAATGATTTTTATTTCTGACTCTTTAAGATCCATATATTAGACCTTTTATCTATAGTCCTCATGGCATTTTTTAAATACATATTTAATTCAATAAGTCTTGAGTATATGCCTATGCTTATGTTGGATGGTTGTATGACCTATTTTAGATTGTTGTTTGTTGTTTTTTACTTTTGGTAATTGCCTTGGTTAACAGAAGTAACTGATAGGTCAAATTTTCCTATGATAAATATGGTTAAAATTTTAGTTATTCAGGACAGTATTTAAATATATCTCTAGCACAGCAGAGGAATGGTTAGTTTGTAGTAAGTTTCTGTTAGCACTTCTGGTGTAGAGACAAAAATTCTTTGTTCTTTCTCAATCATGGAAATGAAGGTAATAGCTTTTCACATTTAGTGATATTCCTTGCTATAGGTTTCTTTTTTAAAATTCATAACTTGAAATTAGTAAGGTTATTTTATACTGCTTTAGTTTATTATAGTGTTCTTTGTTTAAGAAGTTATAGCTTGGTAATTCATAAATGCTTTGTCTTGTTAAAAAAATACCTTTTCTACAAGGTCCTGTACCCCAAATCTTTGTTTCTTTAACTTTGGAAGGTGAATATTTAAAAATGAAGTTCTTATTATACTGTGGACATATGTTCGTTGTGTTTGCCATTTCTTTACTGTCTAAACTAAAGAAAAGGGACTGTGAAATGGGTAATATGTTCTTTTTTAAATGTCCCCAGAAGATTCGTCTTCTGAGTTATTTAGGCAAATTCTGAAAATACTATAGTTTTTAAGTACCCAATAATTTAAATTAGAGGTGCTTTAGAAATATGCTGAATGGTTCAAAGCAACATTTTAGATTAAAAAGGGGTATCTTTTATTTCATTAATGTGTCTCATAATAAACAATTTCAATTTCCTTAAGATAGTAATCTCTTATATACCTGAATAATCTTAAGTCTACTAAGGTAGTTCTTTAGCATTGAGGTATTCAAGCACTGGCTAACAGAAACCTTTGGAGGATGGGATGGAAGTTTGGGCCACATGACTTAGGGACTAAGATCCCTTCTCACTCTGAGACTCCTGAAAGTTCCTCCTAGTCCCATTTTACTGCCAAGCATGCTTTCAGTGACTCATCTCTTTCTAGGTTCTTTCCATTACAGCTGGTCACACATATTGCATTTAAAGAACTATCCTGGTAATGTTTTTTATCTGACAGATATTTGAAAATAGAACTTGGAAGTTCACAGAGGCTTAAGTCAGGATGGGCAGTAGTAATGTGTTACGATATCTAACTTTATCTTCAAGCTCAGATAGTTCTCTTCAGCTACTGTATCATCCCCATTTAAATGACACCTTCTCTTGCTTACACTGGGTTGTTTGTGACTTGGTAGTACTTCCTACTCAAGCTGGAAGTTCATAAAAAGCTGAGGAAGGAGTTGACTCAATTTTTAGGGCCACCAGCACCATGTATGCTCTACTGACTGACCAGTTTTGACCCATTGTTTTTGTGTCACATTTCAGCTTTTATTTTAGACTCTTTTACTGGCTTTAAATGACAAATTCTTACTAACTTCTGATATCTCTTTATTTCTGGCTGCTTGATTTGTAAATCAATTTGAATATATTTTTCTTTTTGGAGTAACATATACTTGTCATTAAAAAAAAAATAGTGAGTACAAAAGGATAACAAAAATACAAAAATAAGTCTCTGCTAAGGCAACCACTGCCAAATGGTTGGTGTGCTTTTTTCCAGAGACTCTCTATACATAAACAAGTATATATCCCTCCTTTTCTCTCCGTTACAAATGGTAGCTGACTCTGCACACTGTTATGTACCTTTGCCTTTTTAATAGTTCATCCCACTGTTGTTTGACATATGTGCATAGATGGATGCCTCATTTAGAAGGCTGCCTGTTTTCCCCTCAACCTACAGTTTTCTACTCTGTAATCCCTGATGGTTCGGTGACTTGAGACCTGCTGTTTGCTCTGATTTGCTGGCCTCTGGTACTACCTTGACTACATCTTGCCCTTTGCTGGAGTCTTCTTTGTTGTGTTAGTCTTTCTTTCTGTGAGTTGGTGTCTTCAAATTTTGCTCATTTCCACTAACTTAAATTTCCACTAATTTAATTTTGCTTCCTTCTTAACTTCCCAAACTGAAACAAAATTTTAAATAACAAAAAAAATGTGTATTTCCATGAGATGTTTATTAAAATTGATTTCATTGAGCTTAATATTCCTTTTTTAGTCCCTTAGTCTTCTGGTAGAGGCAGAGGAGCTGTGGAATGCATCAAGGTTAGAAACAGAAAAAAGGAGAGAAGAGAATGATAATCATTTTGTCTGGTATTAAAACTGGTCTTTAATATGAAGTTGACATTTTTTTTTATTCTTGTGTATAATATTATAAAAAATAATATATAATATTGTAGAGAAAATTGTACTTGTAGAATATACTACTATTATGTGCAAGGAACAATATCTTTTTTGAATCTTAGGGAAGAATAAATTGTAGTGAAAAATGAGAGTTAGCTTTGTGTTTTGTTTGCTGCTGTCATTATCTTCCTAAGTTTGGGTTTGTTCATTTAGCTTCTTAAAAGAAGTCTTTTGTTTGTTTGTTTGTTTAAAGCAGCATTAATTGCAATTAGTGTAAGCTGTGACTGAATGCTGATGCCTCAGTCCTGACTCTGTAAGCAAAATCTTAGGGTGGAAGTATGATTTATTGGGATATGTAAGAGAGTGACATATTATATGATGGATTTTGTGGGGTTTTGGTTATTACATAGCAACTGTAGGAAATTTTAAATTGGACTAAATATTTTTTGGATAAATAAAAATGTAAATTGTTCATTTGATTTGTTCTTCTATGTGTCATGTCATCTGGGGCCATGTTCTAGGAGAGCCACCATTTATATTAGTCTGGGAATTTCTCAAGGGCACAGATCATATCCCTCACTTTCATGTCTCCAGTCTGTAACATTATAACTGGCATTTAATAGGTGTTCAATAAATGTTACACTAAACTAAGATTCATCAAGTGGTACTAAAATAATTTTATTCTACTTTTAAATGTGTTGTATGTGGCAGTGTTTCATAATTAACTTAGTAACTTTTTTTTTTTTTTTTACCATCCCTGTAGGTAGGTGATGGTTTTAAGATAACAGTGTCAATTTTTTTAAGTTGTCTTGCTTTTTATGTGTAAGTACTTATGTTAAGGGATGATCAATTCAAAATTTCCTTTGATTGGGTCGTGGAACTCAGGAGATCTGAAAGGCGTTACAGATTTGCTTACAACATTGGGATGGTACTGTGGTTAAACAGTCATCCTAAAAAAGACTGAGTTCATGTGTGAGTTGACAATACAGCAAGCAGTATACCATTTAAAAGTGATTACTGCCACTTCTTAAAATGGTCATTGACCAATATACAGTATATTAGGGAAAAAAATGAAGGCTTATCTTTGTCTAGCACAGAAGAGTTAGAATTAGTGTTATGTCATGTAAAATGACTGCTATCCAACCTAATGTAAAATTGAATACTGACTCCTTTTGAAAAAATCTATTTAACATTTTTATCATTACATACAATATATTTGGCATTAAGGAACAGCACAAGATAAACCCTTGATGAAGCGCTTTTTATTGAGTACCTGTTACATGTTCTGAAATATTTACTAATTAGTTAATTTCCAGGCATCTAAAGCCTTCCCCTTTGGATGGCTGGTGATCTACATAAGCAGTAAGTAGTGATTTCTAAGATATTAAAAGCCTATGGGAAGAAAGAGAGTCATAAACATAGGAAAAAGAATAATTAGGAATAAAACCGCATGCCTCTGTCTTTCTCAGGGTCAAGAGCTATGGGAGAACTTTGTTGTTATCCAGATGACCATGTTTGTTGTTTCACGTGGCAGGAAGTTTTAGGCATAGTTGATTGGCTGTGTCTAATTGTTAGTGAGCAAAACAGTCAGAAAATGGTAGCTGATTAGAACAAAGCCATTATGTTCCCATGAGAAAAACAACAAAACCTTAAACAGTGACTGAAACTAACTTAGTGGTGAAAAAAAGTATTTATGGAATGGGGGACATCCTTCTCATTTGTATAATGTGTAAGTGAATGAGAAAATCTGAGGTCCCTGTTTTGACTTTTCAGTCAACTTAGCATAAACTAAAAAAAAAAACTTATTTATAGAGGTTTTCTTAAATATAATGTGAGCTCTCCATTATGACATTTAACAAATGTCCATCCGGCACGGTCTTGAGGGTGTGGGAATGTAGTGGTGGGTGTTAAGGTATCTTCTCTGTCCTCATAGAGCTTTCATTTTAATGGGAATACAGATAAGTAATTAATTCAAAGATAGTGGGATAATATAGTGTGGATGTATAGGGTGCTGTGGGAGCATAGGTGAAGAATTCTTAACAAAAAACAGGAAGAGTCAGAGAAGGCTTCCTGGAAGAAGTGACATCCAACCTGCCATCTGAAGGATTACTGCAAGTGAGCCAGACCAGGGAAGGGGGAGAATGTTATAGACAGAGAGTAAAAAAACATGGGTGATGGTCTGAAAAGTGAGAGAAGAGAGAAAGAATTTGGTGAGTCCATGGACTGGAAAGAAATTTGGTATACCTGGAAGTGGCAAACACTTTTTGAATGCTTATTGGAAACAAATATACCCTCTTTACTGAATATAACTAGTTAGGACTAGATAAGAAATTAAGATATTTTATGAGATATTGCTAAGAACCTGGTAAAGGATACGTCTGATTTAGTCTTAATATTTTTACAAGTAACTGTTCTTTATGTGTAAACTCATGTAATTTCTACTTAATCATTGGTATTTGAGTCTTCAGTTGAATTCTTAGGCCTAGTTCAGGTTATTTCTGTGTCTCTAACTCTTTTTGACTATCTTTAAAGATAGAACTGAATTTTTAGTATAGATCTAACAGGTTTTTAAATTTAGAATTAAAATGTGCAAATTCCTTCTTTTCTTCCTGTTGGTACTACACTCATCTACACTTCCTGAGAACTATATATAGATCAATTAGACAGGTTTATCCGAAGTATTTTTTATCATCACTCTACCTCTGACCATTTGTTAATCACTTAGGAGGTTAACTATGAACTAAATATATTAGCAATCTATTGCCAATATATTTTGTAATTTGGAATGAACTAGAGAAATATATGTGTTTACGTGTATGTATGTATGTATGTATGTAAATTTACTCACATAAAGAGTAATACCCAAGCTGTTCTCTGAATCTTACTAAATTTATTTTCTGATTTTTGTGGTAGTATGGTCTAGTGGAATAAACATTGATTTGGATTTGGGATATGGTGGAAATTACTTCATTTTATATATTTCATCCCAGTAGAAACCCTGATGTGTAATTTAATTTTTCTGGGACTTAGGTTCATATTTTCTTCCATAATTCTCCAAGGTAGGTTTGGTTGGTTAGTTTATTTTGCAAGATGGGTTAACCAAGTGCAAAGATTAAAAGTTCTTTAAGGTCACAAAACTATGTATCATCAGAATTGGAATCTCTAAAAACTTGGTAAATTCTGATAAACCTGGTAATCAATCTTTTTGCCTTAAAATTTTGAGGGCTGGCCTGTCTTCAAAATGAGGATAAAATACAAAATGATGATTAATATAAAAATTAAATGTAAATAGGTTGTAAAAGATTGAATCAGAAATATTTAACTATGGACCCCTCAATATTAATGGCACTACTGAAGTTTTGTTTTTTATCCTATAGTAGTCCCAGAGCTTAATAGATAGTCAAATGCTTGTTGAGTGAAGGAATAGTTTGCACCCAAATAGTCTTAAAGGTATTTTTCAGGACACTTGAAAATTATTTCCTCTTTAGTTTAAGTCAATGTTACTATCTTTTTTTTTTTTTTAATTTGAGGGAACTAAAAGTTCATTGATAAGTAAAGCACTGCAGACCAATTTTGTCAGTTTATCTGTGGTAAAGACCTGTAGGAAGTAGTGACAAAAGGCCATCTGTTCCTATTTTATTCTTGGTAGATGTTTTTATTTTAAAGATTGGATGTTTTTTGCCATTTATTTTTTTCTCTTCCTCTTGATCATCTGTCATATGCTTTGATTCCCTAGAACACTGGCATTTCTTCAACTAACATTTATTGAGCATTATTTGAACTGAAGGCTTTGTAGTTGTAAATAAGACAGCTTTGGCTTTGGCTGCTTTGGAGTTTGTAATCTAGTGGAAAAGATAGGCTTTAAATTAGTAATTATATCAGTAATTAATTGCAATTGCGGTAAGTTTTTGAGGGGGAAAGGCTTTGAATTAATTTATAGTGGTATCAAGAGGCCTAAGCAAAATTCAAACTATGGACAAGGATTCTCTATTGTCACACCAAATGGCCATAATCCCATCTTGGCCCAGAACCTGAAATAACTTGAGCTGAATTTTAAATGAAAAGTCACACACAATCCTGTGACATAATTTGACCTTCTTTAAAGAATCAGAAGAATATGTATAACAAAACTCCATGTCCACTACCTAATGCATAAAAGAGCTGGAAGAACCAGTCAGAAGGTTTGGCAGGGGGTGAGGTGGGGATTTAATTTTTCTTTTGCCCTCCAGATCTGTTGAATCAGAAATCTCTAGGGGTAGATCACATTTTTATTACCAGGCCATTGTCATGATCAGTCAGATGTTGCAACCACTTTTGGAATATGCCAAGAATTGATTAGTTGCTGATGTAGAAAAAGAGCATCAATTTTGGCTACCCTAATATCCAAATGATGACAGGACTTTGCTTAGAACTTAGTTTATAGCTTAGTTCTGAATATACTGTAGTAGAAATTGGCAATGCCTATATTTTATTTTTAAAGCGTAACTGCACTTTTGGATTGTCAGCAGTGATTGCTGTTAAAAAGTGCATGTTAAAGTTACCTTTTGTGTTAAGTGTTTTTTTGTTTTTTCCCCTCAGGAACTAAACAACTTAAGCATATTTTATTAAAAGACGTGGACACTATTTTTGAATGTAAATTATGCCGCAGTCTCTTCAGAGGATTACCAAATTTAATAACCCATAAAAAATTCTACTGCCCACCAAGTCTCCAGATGGATGACAGTAAGTTTTATTTGTATATTCAGTTATGCATTTTACTGTTAAGTATTCTTAAACTACAACTATACATTTGTGTTAAAATGGTATTGCTATCTAGTTACAGATAATTAATAATGGAGAATAAAATTAAATACTTAGGGTTACGTTCAGTTTCTTAGGTAGGCACTTTCATATTAGTGCTTTTTATTTGGCTTTTCCTAAAGATAATATGAAGTTAGATTTATGAATATATTTATTTGGATTAAGACACTGGATATTGTTTTTGAATGTTTATATGGCCTATATATTTATATTCAGGAATTTTGTACATTAAAATACTAATGCTTAAAGGAGGGGGGTGTATTGGTATTTTTTCTCTTTACTCATTTAACAACTTTTTACCAGATGATGACTGATCATTTACTTAGATTCCCATTAAAAAAATGAGAAGGTTGGAACAGAGCAAAGAATGAGTAAATGAGTTGATTTCTTGGGAATGGAGAGCATTAAAAATACATATTAATCTTTGTAGTGTTTGCTGGGTCTTGATTTGAAGATCAATTTTGTTCTCAGTGACATTTATTTTGATAAATCATTTTGGCAAAAATTAGATTCTGTTACAGGCTAACTTGAGATGTGACATAGCTTTAGGTGATGAGAGCAGGTGGTTTACACTGGTAAAGTGTTTGTGGGCCAAATGTTGAATTAAGTGTATTGTTCCTGTATGATTAAGTTGATGATACATGTAATGGTATTTTCTTGCTTTAAACAACTAATGTAAATTCCTTAAAATATTTTAAAAAGTATTAGGTTACTTTCATTATGTCTTGTTTTTTGTAGACTTAAAAATGATCTAACATTGTGTTAGTTTGATATTGTAGTTGCATTCCACATTTTGTACATTTTTCAACTTTTTTGGAATGGGAGTGAAATGCATATTTCAAACATCGAAAGTGCTGCTTTAATTATTAGCATGGAGCTGATTTAAAGTGTATCGTAGGATATAGATTAAATGAGAATTTCATATTTGGACACTTTTCCTACTACTGTTGGATCTTACTGTACTTTTTATCTTTGAAAACCAAATGAAAAGACAATCTAGAGATTAACTTGAAATCTAACCTTTTAATTAAAGTACTAGTAGAAAATTAGTTAATTTTCTGTTATTTGTTTTATAGTGTTTTTAGGCTATTTTTTTAGTTTTTAGAAGGAAGTAAATGGATTTGCTGGATTATTGCATACTTTTCTTGGCAGTACTTACTCTAGAAGTACTTCTGTGAAAGTGTTATTCTTATAGTCACCACTTCATTTTAAAAAGGAAGATGAGTAGACTTGAGCTATAATGAATAATTTCTTGAGTCTAAATAGACATCAGATTTGATGCTGTATTTATAACTAGATTTTAGAGTTATATGTGGAAACATAACCAGTGGTAAACAATTCTGTTACAATATGAATATTTGGTTGCTTATAGAGGATATAATTATTGTACAAGTAAATAAAATTAGGTCTGTTTTTAGAATAAATCTATATATAGTTTTTAATCATTTGTTTTAATAGGATTGTGTTATGTTAAGGCATTAAATAGGACTGAATTTGGCAAATACTTTTAAACATCATGTCATTCATGTTTATATATTTTCCTATAAATCTTTGTTTTCATTTCCATAAGATGTTCAAATACCCCTCTACAATTATAGGTCAAGTTAATAGTAATGTTGTTACATTTTCTTGTAAAAAAACCATTTTTATATATGGTAACATTCTTCATTATGTTTTATCCATTTTGGGTTATGAAAACTTTGATTTGCCTTTGCTAGCCTAAAAATTTTTGACTGAAAATATGAAATGATATTTTGTTTAGGACATGCATGTGCTTATATATTTTATATTAAGGGCACTTAGAAGTAGCTCTTTAGATTGCCTTTCTTCCTAAACATTTGTCATAATGAGATATAAAATTAAACCAAATTTTTGTTTAATTAATGCTAGTTGTTAATCTTCATAAAATATTGAAAAGTAGATAATGCTCTTATAAAAATAAATATGAACCAGTAATAATTTTAGGATAGATGTTTATAATACATTTTTAAATATTAGAGGGCTAGAGCAGTCTAATTATTTCAGATTAAAATGTTGCTTTTTCCTTAACAGACCTTCCTGATGTAAATGATAAACAAAGTCAAGCCATAAACGATCTCCTAGAAGCCATATATCCAAGTGTGGACAAGCGAGAATACATTATTAAGCTAGAACCCATAGAAACTAATCAAAATGCAGTGTTTCAGTATATTTCAAGGACCGATAATCCTGCTGAAGTCACAGAGTCAAGCAGTACTCCTGAACAAACCGAAGTCCAAATACAAGAAACTAGCACTGAACACTCTAAAACAGTACCAGTTACAGATACAGAGGTGGAAACTGTTGAGCCCCCTCCTGTTGAGATTGTTGCAGATGAAGTTGCACCTACATCTGATGAACAACAACCTCAAGAATCGCAGGCTGATTTGGAAACTTCTGATAATTCTGATCTTGGTCACCAGTTGATATGTTGTCTGTGTAGAAAAGAATTCAATTCCAGGCGAGGTGTTCGTCGTCACATTCGAAAAGTACACAAGAAAAAAATGGAAGAACTAAAAAAGTACATTGAAACACGAAAGAATCCAAACCAATCCTCTAAAGGACGCAGTAAGAATGTTCTAGTTCCATTAAGTAGGAGTTGTCCAGTGTGTTGTAAATCATTTGCTACAAAAGCGAATGTAAGGAGGCATTTTGATGAAGTTCATAGAGGACTAAGGAGGGATTCAATTACTCCTGATATAGCAACAAAGCCTGGGCAACCTTTGTTCCTGGATTCTGTTTCTCCTAAAAAATCTTTTAAGACTCGAAAACAAAAGTTGTCTTCAAAGGCTGAATACAATTTAACTGCATGCAAATGCCTCCTTTGCAAGAGGAAATATAGTTCACAAATAATGCTTAAAAGACATATGCAAATTGTCCACAAGATAACTCTTTCTGGAACAAACTCTAAAAGAGAGAAAGGCCCTAATAATACTGCCAACAGTTCAGAAATAAAAGTTAAAGTTGAACCAGCAGATTCTGTAGAATCTTCACCCCCTTCCATTACCCATTCTCCACAGAATGAATTAAAGGGAACAAATCATTCAAATGAAAAAAAGAACACACCGGCAGCACAGAAAAATAAAGTTAAACAAGACTCTGAAAGCCCTAAATCAACTAGTCCGTCTGCTGCAGGTGGCCAGCAAAAAACCAGGAAACCAAAACTTTCAGCTGGCTTTGACTTTAAGCAACTCTACTGTAAACTTTGTAAACGTCAGTTTACTTCCAAACAGAACTTGACTAAACACATTGAGTTGCACACAGATGGGAATAACATTTATGTTAAATTCTACAAGTGTCCTCTTTGCACTTATGAAACTCGTCGGAAGCGTGATGTGATACGACATATAACTGTGGTTCATAAAAAGTCATCCCGCTATCTTGGGAAAATAACAGCCAGTTTAGAGATCAGAGCTATAAAAAAGCCCATTGATTTTGTTCTAAATAAAGTGGCAAAAAGAGGCCCTTCCAGGGATGAAGCAAAAAATAGCGATTCAAAACATGATGGCACTTCTAACTCTCCCAGTAAAAAATATGAAGTAGCTGATGTTGGTATTGAAGTAAAAGTCACAAAAAACTTTTCTCTTCACAAATGCAATAAATGTGGAAAGGCATTTGCCAAAAAGACTTATCTTGAACATCATAAGAAAACTCATAAGGCAAATGCTTCCAATTCACCTGAAGGAAACAAAACCAAAGGCCGAAGTACAAGATCTAAGGCTCTTGTCTGGTGAGGAACAGTTACAGAGTTTTGCTTTTTTCCCCCATCGAACTAAAAAAATCATTTGATCATAATTTATAGGTGGTTCCATTTTTTAACACATGTTTGCTTTCATATATCTTATGGCAGTGGGAACTGCAAGAGTGATGTGCATACTGCACTTACCTCTTCAGTGACCTTTATTCCAGTGGCTTGGGAACAAAAATTAACTTCAGAACTTAATCTTCCACAGGACAATGCAATATAGATATAGGTAGATGGCACAGGGTCAGTGCTTTCCTCTCAATATTGTAAAATACATACATTTTTATTGGCTTGTTTACAATAGGAGTCTTCTGTTTAACTTGCACAGGTTTAATTTGATTCAGTGACTTAGTCTACTAATTAATACATTGTAGGAAAGTTAAATATATTAGAATGAATTTGTGAAGGTGATAATTATAGGAAAAAAGTCTTTTGAGGCACTGTGATTATTGTAAAAATTAATTTGTGATGGCTAAATAAAGTGCTGCACTCAAAAAAAAAATTCCAAAATTGAATAGAGCAGTTAGCATTTATTATTTATGTTTAACCTAGTGTTTCTAGGCAAAGGGGAACTTGATAAAACAAGTTTAGATTATTTTTCTTTCTCCTTGGGAGTATGTGTTAGTTACTGTTTTTTACTTTTGATCTATGGAAAAAGTGATTATTTAGGTCCCAGATTGTCTTATTTTTGTCTTTTTGTTGAAGTAAACTTTTCATGATCATTTCAACATGGTTAACATTAGGGATTTTTATTATTATTTTTTGGTGGTTGTGTGATGCAAGAAAAGTAAAACCCCTGTTGGGAAGAAGAAAAAAATACTACTTTTTAAGAAGGTTTTGGAATAAATCTAGATTTTTAAAATGCAGTATAAAATAAGGAGTAGACTCCTATACTTGATTTTGCAAGTCTCTATATTTTTTAAGTTTACCTTTAGTACCTATGTCCCCTGTATTAAAACATTTAATATATTTAATTACTGTTAGTTTTGGATTCAGGTTCTAAAGCAGTATATTTAGTTTGCTGAGTAGTTTAAATGTTGTGGTTTGATTATCACACATTCTTTTTTACTTGTTTGGAGAGCTTGAGGTGAAACCATCCTTTAGAAGTTCATTTACTATTGTATAATTTTAAGAAGAAGGTTTTATTGGTAAACTCAAAAGTGTTCATTTATTCCCATTTCTCCTCAGATAACTTCAAGTGATGTACGAAAAGGTTTGGAGTTCATTTTTGTGGAAAGACTTTAAATTGGTGTTAGAACCACTAAACATCTTCAAATGGTACTATGAGAAAAAAAAGAAACATTTTCATAAATATTGACTGTAACTGCTGTTTCTGACTAAAATAATAACCATCTAACCACTTGTTTCTAGGCATTGCCTCTTCCAGCACTTTCAAGTAGCTGTGACATTAAATATTGTCATCACAGTCCATCAGCTAACCACCCTTGACCTTGTGCACTTGGTCTACAGTTTCTACAAAAATATTGCAAATTTTGTATTCCAAACAATTTGTTGATTAAAGTGATCAACAATCTGAAGAAAATGTCACCACTGGTGATTTTTAATTCACAAAGACTATATCTTAGCGATTTTAGTTTTGTTCAACCTTATTTGGCAAAATTTTCATCTGTATAGATATATGATTTCCTGGAGAGTGTGTGTTAGGACCAAAAGACAAATTAGTATCAATATGCTAAAAGTACTTAGCCTTCTAAATATTTGTAATTATTATTACATCTGTTTATTTCAGACTTGTTCTCCAGCACTTAAATGTAAATGTTTGAAAGTTTCATTCTAAAATGTGTATTACTATAGGGAAGTTTCAATTCATTTTCATCTATGGATCATTACATTTTTTATTTGTAAACATCTTGAGATTTTTATGAATATTAAACATTCCCTTATTTTTCCTTAAATTTTATACAAAGCACTTTAATGATAGATGCAACTTAATTTTTCAGTTTCTATTTTTTTTAAGTACCACACATTTACTAATGTTAATATGAAGGTAGTAAATAGCTTACTTGTAGTTTATGGATGCAGACAATCCATGCACAACCACTTCTTGTGATACTAGTTTATTTCTTTAAATACTGCTAAAAAAGGAAGATGGGGGTGTAAACCCTGCTTTTTTTCCTCCCAAGTAAAAATCTTAAATGACCACTTTAGATATTTGATTTCTACTGTAAAATTTGAAAAATAACGAATTTCTGTCCATTTTTGCAATCAAGACCTTAGGAAAAACAGAAGTACACCTATCTTTATGAAATATTGGGCAGGTTTTTGTGTATCAATATTTTGTACTTTTTGGGGAATATTTTATTTTTTAGTAATTTTTGTCAAATTATAATTTTAAAAGGTACAGCAGAGAATATACCATGCTTTTATATAGGTCTACACCTGTACTTAAGAGGGACCCTGTCCATCTATATACTTTTTGTATAAATTTTTTAAAGGATTTAAGATCCACAAGGTCATAATAAATGCCTCTATAGCTAGAAAAACATTTACCCCTCCCAGTGCTTTGCACTAAAATATACTGTGAAAGGAAACTAGAAAGACTGTAACTGTTGCTGGAAATGTTCTATATTGAATGTACATGCTCTTGTTGGAAAAATGTACTATATGTGATGGAAATAAACCAGACTCAAAGTTATTTCAGCTGAATGTTTCAACAAAAGGTGCATTGGTTGAAACTTAAATGTTTTATTATCAAATTTAAATTTATTCAGTGACTATGAGCAGGTACACTTGAATTATATCCTGATAGTTGTATTTTTAAGAATTAGAGTAATTTCTTTTTAAAGTAATTTAAAAAACAGATATGCTTTTCCACATATGGAAAACTTGTACTTATAGGTCTAACTTTAATGATTAATAGCATAATATATTTAGGGAACTAAATGTTTAGGTGGTATTTCATTTATAAACCATCTTCATTAGTTGCACATTATTAAACTGTATGTTTGACTTTTCCAAGGTGTTATCTTTTATGCTTTCCTACACACAAGACATCTTCCAAAGATATTTCCCAGACTTAAGTGCCTATAACCAGTGAAAAGATAATGAGAATTCTTAAAAAGCTTGGGGCAAATCTTTGCTGCAACCTCTTATCTGTATGTCATCCCTTTCCTCTGCTTTACTTGTTAAATACTGTAGGGGAGAAAGTGAAATAGCCTGATGTTGGTTGAGGGGAGCCCAATTTTTGAAATTCCCTTATTCTTACCTGTTTTCACAGGGCTTTTTATAGTTTATCTCCTCCATCATAACTCTTGGGCCACAGAGCAGAAATTTAGAAGGAGGAATTGATTTTAGGGACTGTCAAAATATTTTATCTGGTTCATAGAGAAAAAAAAAATTCACTGTGTCAGAACTTTGTTTAAATTAAAAGTGCCTAGAGAGATTAGAATAATTGTATTATAGTAGCCAAATTAATAATAGGTCATGGGAGACATAGGAGTTAGAGGCTAACTGGGACCAGTTTAGAAAGGTAGAATGAAAAATAAAAAGTGGAGATTTTTTTGTTCTTCCTATTCCTTTCTGGTCTTCATCCTTACCTTTTGGTTTTATTTTGACTTGAGCTGTGTCATCTCAGAGGTTTAGACTTGAGGTTCTTGAGAAGAGGCCTAAAAAATTTGTACCAGAAGCTTTTCTGCATGTAGGCTGTATAAGTAAATATAGCACTTTTAATTTATTTTAGGGAGGAGTAGTTAAATAGGAAAAAGAACCATCAGAAACTTTATTTTATATTAAGCCCTATCTGGCACAGATTATATCCACCTTTGCTATTTGATCGGTTAAGAGTTTTTTTAATAGAATTCAACTCATCTTCCTTCCTGAAGACACCTTCCACTCCTAAGTGTGGTGGGAGAGGAAAAACAGTGAAAGGTATGGCTTGTGCTTCAACTTCATACATTTGGATAGTGCAATTGAGAGCTGAATGAGGTATGGCTGACATTGGGCAGGTTTGTTCATTACAACATGGAGATAGTCCATGTATGTACAATAGCCATTTTTTTGGTTCATGTTTTTTACACTCTTCCTCCCTACTTCAAGAAGAAAACATGCTTGAATAATACACGTACTGAAGAATATATAAATAACCCGCCCTTAATTTTTAGCCTATTGTATGTATGGGCTAGTTTTCAGTTGACATGGATGGCTTGTATTGTTTGAAAGTACCTTCACATTTTTAGGAATATGTATTTGTTATATTGCTTAATGGTCAAAAGGCTGGTCTATTCAGTTTGCTTTAGAGACCTGTGGATGCAGTAGCAGGGAATTTTGCAGTTTTGCTGTAGCTTGAGGCTGTGGGTATAGAAAGAGTAGTTTCCCATTAGGTGTTATGCAAGTAGGTGTGGAGATAGAGATGCACAAGTGGATAGCATTTCCTGCTCTGATGTTGCAAAAGACCTCTTCAAATAGTATGGCCACTGAAATTAAAATAGAAATGCTTCTAAAACTTTAAAAATTAGGTTCCAGGTTTCCTGTAGTGGCCTATGGAAGTATTTTAGATTCTTATTTAGAAGTTGTAGTTATTTTCTAATGGACTCCATAGATTACTAGGATTATTATTTAACCATGGCTCTTGTAGTTTATCTGAAGATGAGTTCTTAAGATATGTGCAGCATGCTTTGGCTGTGGTGTTAGACAAAATCCTTCTGTACTCTTTGGTATTCTTGCCCTCTTCTCGGACTTCAGGAACTAACAGAAACCTCATGATTAAAAAGGAGTTAAGGATCCACATTCTTAAAAATGGCTATTTGTTGTTTGGTTTCCAAGGCATTAAGCACATGACAGACTGTGGAATAAAACATATTTCACTTAAACTTACCTACAATTATTTTGGCTTTTCTAACTTTCCAAATTCATTCCTCCTTTCTTTTTTAATTTGTTTCTGCAACCCTTTCCTCTGATTTCTGAGCTTCCAGGTCTTATCTTTCCTTTATTCTCTACTGGTTTATTAACAAGAGATCATTAGTACCAAGATAGCTAAAACATTTTTTGAGAAGCCTAAAGAGTGGAAAGTAAGCTCATTTCTTCCTGACTCTTTATTGCTCTATATCCAGTTTATCATGTTTGATTACTCATTACTTCTTCCTGTACATAGATTCACCACTACCACACCACAAACAGAGGAGTACTTAATGAAGACCATACGTAGGTGCAACTGGTTGGGAAAATAACCCAAGTTGGAGGGTTTGCTGTTTGTGCCCACTTTGTAAAATTAATTTGCTTGTGTATTTTTGAAGTTAGGGACTTATGTCTTGATTAATTTTGTTTAGTGCCTAGCATGTTTTCATGTATACCCAGGCACTTTAAATAAATGTTTGATAATGATATTAAAGTAAATAGCCTTTTCCATGTCAAAATTGTGCTGTCATATACTTATAGACTTTGGGTCTTTCATAAACTTTTATTTTCACAATATGGATAGATTTCACTTACTTTAGAAAATGCCACCAGTACTAAGATCAGAGGTTATGGTAATAAAATTCTTAGTATTAGCTAATGACAGTGAACATTCATGGAGTGTTTACTGTGTGCCAAGCACTCTGCTTATCCTTTGCATGCCTAATTCCCCTAGTCCACCAGTACCCCGATGAAGTAAGAACTGTTAACTTAATTATCCCTATTTCATAGAACAGAAAATTGGAATTAGAGAACTTCAGTGATTTACTCAAGTTCACATAGCTAGTAAATTACAGAATTGACAGTTGACTCTCCATCTGACTACAAAGCATGTGCCCTTAATCAGTGTACCTTACACCTGCTTGTTTTACCATTTGCAAAGCATATTCATTGCATTACCTTATTGACAGCTTAGTGTAATTATGTGGAGCTAGATGAGTTGATGAAATTTTTGGATCTACAAATTATTTCCTGTGTGACCTTGTGCAAGTTTTTAAACATTCTGTACCCTAATTATCTCACTTATAAAATGGGGGTAGCACTTCTTACCTCATAAGGTTGTTCTGAGGATAAAATGAAGAGTTCATGTAAAACACTTAGACTAGTTAGTCCCTGGCGTGTTAACAATAAATATCTGATATGATTACTATAAATTATTTTCATAGTATACCCAAATGTGGATTTTTTTTTCTTCTTAAATCTAAGTTAGATGGAAATGTGTGCATTAGAAGAGAGAACTTTATTGCTACATCAGAATTTAACTACTGCTTTAGTTTTTAATTGGGACAATGAAGAAAACTGTATTTGCTACTAACTCTTCTAATCAGATATTAATAGTTTATCATTCTTACAAATTTTTTATTTATCTTGAAAAAGGTTTTGGGTGGTTTTAAGCCCATTCATTTTAAGTTAGGCTTTGTTTTTGTGGTTACTCCCAGAATAACCATCTGGCTTAAAATTCTCATTAGTATCTGTCCTATTACACACATATTTTATTTTTGGTCATGTGCAAAATATTGATATGAGGCAAGTACTAATTGAGTATCATAGCTGAAATATTTCTATAAAACAAAAGTGATACACAGTACAAATTGAAAGAAAGCATTTAATTATAGAAAGAGTGGATTCTTCAGGAGAGCACAATTTGGGCTAAGTCAGGTATTTGGTGCCATGTTATGAAGAAATAAGAAATGGCACTTTGAAAAGTCTTGCCAATGGTAGTCACTTGTGGCAGTATTCCATATTTCAGCTGAGTCCCAAGTACTGTTAAATTACCTGCTGAGAGGGATTATCCACACACCTGATTGTTCTTGATCTTGCTTATTTAAGAATAAGATGATCTTAGAAATTTAGTGTAGGGACTGGTATAATATGCAATACCAGAGAAACATTGTCCCAAGGTTTGGATGAATCTCCCATTTCCTGAACTTCACATCAAATACTGGGGTTTCAACACCTGCACCTGGGTTGTGTGGCTTCTTAATGTTTCTGATACTCAAATACTTGTGTCAAGTATTTAGAGCATATTCCTAGCATACAAAGCATTGTAATGTTCAAGCAGTAGACTGAAGTGGTTAAAAAAATAGCCAAACCAAAAAGAACAAAAAAACCCACACCCATTTTGAGTGCTTGAGCAATAATGACCTATCTGGGTGTCCTGCTGTATATAATCTGGTAACACTCCAAACTTACAGTATTATTGATGTTATGTTCAGAGGAGAAATTATACACCAAAATGAACCCCCTTATAACAACTCAGGTTTTGAATAGTGGTTTTTAACCTCTTCTATCTATGGAATTATCCTGAAAATAAATGAGCTCAGAAATGAAACTGAGTTTTTAGTCAGATTTTGTAAGTCGTGCAAAATAATTTTTTAAAGAGCTGAGGCTCTTCTTGGGTAGATTGGGGCTTTGGTAGACTTGGACTCCAAGGTGTACACTAGTTTTGATGGGTAGCTTTTATTTTGGTTGATAAGAAAAAACAAGGAATACTCTTAGGAAAAAACAGTGAAGCACTAGGAACATTGTGTGAATTGTATAAAAAAATTAACTTTTAGGGAAAGGATTTTTTGTAGCTTCCTTGAATTTTTGATAAACAGCTTGTTAGGATCAGTTTACATAGCTTCTGTAGGAGAGTGGTCATGTCAATTTTCATGCCTTTTGATTTATTAATATTTATTGAGTTTTTTGAAATCCAATGTGCTGGGCATCTGTAGATGCTTGAGACTTGGAACTTCATTCTATTTTCCTTTGAATGGGCAGGATTTGAGGAGATAAAATAATGGTACTATCATAAAGATCAACAAGAATACACTGATATTTATGAGTAATTTTCAATATTTACATACTCAAGTTAAACTTAACCTCAAAACATTTTCATAATTTTCCAGTTCATCCTTACTCTGCCTGGCCATCTTGAGTAGTCAGCTGTTGTTTCTTGTGATTTTAAGAGAACAAAGTCACTTACGTACTGTGAAACTTGGGCACAAACAGATTTATACACATATAAGAGGAGGAACCTTTTAAAGAGATGGTTTTGCTTCCTTAATTTCTCTGTGTCTCTTTTTAATCTCTAAGTGCACAGTTGCAGTGGTAGGAATTGTTAATTTTTAAGGTTTAAGATACTTCTTTGAAGGCCTTCTTTCTAAAACAGTTCACTAGAGCTAAGTAACACATTTTCAAACCACAGATGTTACAAAATGGAAATAAACCCCACAATTCTTGGATTGCCAGCCACCACCCAATTTACCATGTCATCTGATTAAGGTGTGTGAGTGCATGTTGTGCACCCATAGGTAAAAATACGGGTGCTACATTTTTTGATATTTCATGTGCAGAGTTTTATTTCATCTGTAGTGAATAAGGTGAGGTTTATTAGAAGCCTTTATGTGGGGAAATAAGGGAGATAGCACTGGCCAGGCCTTTTGGGAATCTAGAAGTAGTTGTACAAACTGGCTTCACCATATAGATTTTGACTAGGTGTTACAGAAACTAGAATAAAAGGAATGCAGCTATAGTGACGAGGTATTGCTAGCAACAGAAGTATCGCTTCTCTGCTGCTAACCCACCGACTCTGCTGTACTTTTTTTTTCAATTAATTACTTCATTTTATATCTTCTCAATAAGGTTGTAACTGCCTCATTACTTATGCTGTCAGATTTCTCTTTCAGCTTCTTCCCTCTCCATGTAGCTTGAGTTTCACTCCTGTAAGAGAACATCTGATTAATTCAGTTAGGTATGTTCCCTGATGGGCAGATCTCCCATTACAGGCCTCTTCATAGGTTGCTCTTCATAGTTTGGCTGCTCTTAGATCCGGTGCTCTCTGTGGTCCTGTCGTTGGTGATCATAGTGTAGAGTGTAGAGGCCATAAAACATGGTCCTAGCCTCAATAAAAGGAATCTTTGGTGGGTCTTTTAAAAGAGAGATCTGGATAGTCCTAGGATGTAATAATCTTTACAGTACACATGGTTTTCTTCCATCTTAAAGCTGATAGAATTAAAGGTAACCTGTGGGCTTGACAGGTCAGTGCAGCACCGCCAATCCTAGGCATACTGAGAAAATGTGGGGAAGAGTATTGTGCTGAGCATTTACCATTTCTAAACTGCCTTGTGCTGTTTCCATCTTTTGTTTTGCAGATTCATAGACAGCCTGAGGTTTTCACTCAGAAAGGGCCAATACATTTCCTCCAGCAGCATATTAGGCCATTCTCAGTTGGTGCTATCTTCCAGACACCCACAATTATGCTGCACAGTTTGAGTTGGTGATTTAGTGAATCCTTAAATATTGCTTCTGCTTTTCTACTTATATTTTACACATTTGGGTTTACCCTGCAGTAGCTGTTTTATATCCTCTCATTGATTCCTTCAATGTCCATCATGTGCCTCACACCATTTCCATTCTTTTGGGGGAACAGAACCATACAGTGGTTAAATCATGGATTTTTAAGACCCTTTTCAAGTCCTGGCACCTTATTTATTAGCTGTGTAATTTGGGCAAGTTACTTAATCTTTCTAAGCTCCAATTTTTCTTGTCTGTAAAACAAAAATATTAAAAATTACCTTCTAAATAGGTTTGTTGTGGGAATTTATAAAAGTTTAGTGGTATATTTATGTAACATGCTTAGCACAATGCCTGGTTCAAGCAACAGCTCAATAAATATGTATTATTACTGTTTTAGTGATGGCTAAAATTGCCATCAGTTTGCTGCTGAAATACTTTTTAGCACTTAGTTTCTGGTTATCTTGCTTTGCCATTTGATGTTTGTTGCCTTTTTATTGGCATTAACCCAACCGTTTAATTACAAGTCAGATGTAAATCTGTGATAAAGCCAAAATACACAGCAGTTTATGAAGTTAAAACATACAATTCTATGGGTCTTTAATCTGCGTATCTTTTGCTAATTGTTCAAGAATTGAACTTTTTGATACAATTTTGCTTCTTTGTGATTAATGTCTTACAGAACGATGTATAGTTTTGAGTAACAAAACTCAGAGCAGCTTTTGGTTTTATTTTTTGTTGTGAACATTAGACTTTGGGTACATGAACATGTTCTGGGTTTACAAGCAAGAACCAATGCCTTGAATGTGTCTGGCATATAATATGCTGAGAGAATGATGAAGGGAGGAAGGAAGGCAGGAACATGACATCATTTATCTTCAGCTTATCTTGAGTCCACAATATAACTTTTCTTTTGATCTTCCTTTTCCATTACATCATCTTCTAATCTGTGTTGCTTCTCTACCTGTGATTTCCTCTTCATTTCTATTATTGATGACTTCCATTGTCTGCTTTCTTTGTGCGAGCCTCCTAGTGTTTGCCATCGCTACTAAGTAATGGTGACAGATTCAAACTCATGGGAGTGCCCTATTGACTCTATACCCTGATAAGTAGTCCATAATCAGTTACACACTGAATGGGTTTACATTTAGTGATTTTTTAAAATAATTCTTTTCAAGCATTA